CTGGAATTAAAAACACCCTTCCCTGTTTGTTGTTGGCATCTTTTCATTTCCAGGCATGTCATTTTGGGATGGGTTGTTGCACTTGGATCCTGCACCTGCCAGGGACTGTGGCAGTGCCCCTGGCTCTGGAGCTGGGAATCTTCCCTGGAGCTGTTGGTGGGAGAGCACCTTCCAGCCTGCTCCTGCTCTCAGGTGTGATTTCACTGCGCTGGTTTCTGCTGTAGGATGCAGAAGGAAACCCAGAGATGCTCCTGCACTGGGAAATTGAGTGCAGAGCACTGCCAAAGGTTCCCACAGCACACCCTGCACAGCCCTGCTCGTCTCCCTCAGGAGAAAAGCTGAACTCCCCAGCCCTCCTGGCTCAGCCTCAGCTAACGAGCACCCTGACTTTTACCTGGGAAACATGAAAAATTACAAAGGAAGGTCAGAGATTAGGTAAAAGAGTTGAGTTAAGGCAGTGTGAAACCACAGGCAGTAGGGAAAGATTTATTCTGCTGGATTTATATCAGCTCTTTAGGCCAGATTCCAGGTCTTGCAGCTACAATTCACGGTGGCAAACACTGCAGCTGGGCTCTTCATTTCAGCCTGCACGGGAGCTTTATCACCCTGGTCCAGTCAGGGGCTGCTCCTTATTTGCCAGCGAGGCAATGGTGATTAAATGGCATTTCCCAGCGTGCAGGTTGGAGTGTTATTAGCTCTTATCTCTAATTGCCCTCATTTTGAAAGTGTTCTGAGCAGATGGCTCCGAGAGAATACGAGTGAAAAGAGAGGCTTTCCTACCTGTGGCAAACAAAAAAAAGTAATGCTGGCTTCCAGCTTGTGGAGTTAAATTTGGGGAAAACAGGCTAAATCCTACTCTGGCTCCCTTTAGGATGGGGAATGGGGGATCAGGGACACCAGGGACACCAGGACTGCCCTGGGGTGGGATTGGTTCCTGCTCATTAATTTTTGTTCCTCCAGAGTGACCCATCCCCAAACTCCTCTGCCCTGCCTGGTGGAATCAGGGAAAATGAGCATTTCCTGAGCCTTGGCCTGGGGCTGGGCTCCAAGAGGCAGCTCTGGGGACTCTCCTTGGGGGCTGTACCACAATGGACCCCCACACCCCTCCTGCCTCCCTGGGTCTCCATCCATCCCAGCCCTTCTGCACAGGGAGGATTTGATCCACTGCAATGTGCCCCAGGTGCACAACAGCCACCTGTATTGAATCACTGCCTTTCAAACAATCCAGCTCAGCCCCAGATTACAAGGTCTGGGTGCATAAACCCCTAGCACAAAAACTTTCTCTTATTTTGCTAACTGTTTAAATGTAAAGCTGTACCAGAAAGAAATTGTCCCTGTGACTCGTATTTTTCATCATTTGGTCATTAAATAGTGATGGATATAAACCTATAAAGTATCTAAACTGAACCTTTTAACAATCCATGAGCAATACTATCATTTCTTTAATAGAACTCGCTGACCGTGCCTTTCTCAGGTGCCATTTGTCATTTTCAGCCTGCAATAATCAATAACTTGGCTTTGAAATAAATAATATAACAGTCACAATATATTATCTTTCAGGCTGGCCTTATACTAACCATAAAACAAGACTAGGAGAGATGAAAACTTTAGGAAAATGCCAAAAATGAAATACCTGAGAGTGGGAGCCAAATTAACCAGCAGCTTTACATAGTTTCCCTTCCAAATTCATTTGTGCTTACCTTCCTTTTAGGCAACTTACCTGTGGGAATCAGAAAAACAGAAACTTCTGCAGCCACTGAAGAGTTTGATCTATAGCCTTAAAAAAAACTTAGATTGATGTAAAAATAAAACACACAGACATTAAGCAGAAAAATCATAAACTTATGTTTCTATAGTTGTAAGAGAAAAATATGCCTTAAGTGAAAAACTGTATTGATAAGATGGTGAAGGGTTTATAATGTAAGAGTAGCTATATAGAGTAAGTTAAGAGTTTAAAATTATAATAGAAACATGTGTGCATGTGAGACAAAAACCCCTTAGACAAAAGTATCCACAGAACAACAAAATTAAGTGGTAAGTCAAAAAAAAAAACCAAAAAAACAACCAAAATAAACCTTGTAGCATCCATTCATTAGATTAGAAGTTGATATAACAAAAAACTTGTGACTACCCTTGAGCTATAACCAATTACTTGCTCCTTTAAAACCTCACAACCTCTGAAACTGATGCTTATCTGAGCAATGAATCATTCTTAACCCAACAGTAGTCCCATCTCTTATTAAAAAGCAGCTACAGTAATACATACCTACTTTTAAAATAAAAAAGAAGAACTGGGATCACCTGATTTCAGGATTGGGGCAAATGCCATCTTGCTGTGAGGCTGGTGCCACGTTTCCCTCCCAGCACTGGGGCAGTGAGGTGTGTGAGCACCAGATCCTGCTGCTGCCACTCAGAGCAGCAATTAAACACAGGCTGGGTTTTAAATATCTGATTGTTGCATTAAAATCACAGCACCAGCACTGCCCATGTCCCTCACCCAGGAAGGGAGCACCTGTCACTGTCACATTTTCTGAAAAATCCCTTTGCCAGGATTTCTTCTCCTGGGAAGCTGAGACGCCTCAGAGAAAAATGAAAACAATCATTATCTGACTTGCTCCTCCTGTGTTTTGCTGCCTTGGAATGTGTTTGGACACTGTTTACCAAGTGCTCATTGTTTGATTGGGCTCATGTGAATTGTTTTAACTCAATGACCAATCACTGTCCAGCTGTGTCAAGACTCAGAGAGAATCACAGTTTTCATGATCATTCTTTCCTTAACTCAATGACCAATCACTGTCCAGCTGTGTCAGGAGTCGAAGAGAGAATCACGAGTTTTCATGATCATTCTTTCTAGCCTTCTGTCTCTATCCTTTCTCTATTCCTTAGTATAATATTATAATATTATATAATAGTATAGCATAATATAATAGTATAATATAATAAACATATTATATTATATTATATTATATTATATTATATTATATTATATTATATTATATTATATTATATTTAGTATAATAGTTCTAAGAGTTCTTTACATTTCAAATTCCAGCAGATTCCCAAGAGATCATCCCCCTCATCCCTGGCTGATTCAGCTACCAATAACAGAGCTTCCCCTCCCCAGGTGTGAGCAGCCCTGGTCACTGCTGAGGCTTGGACTGATGGGAACAATTAAAGCCTCACAAGCTCCGTGCTGAGGCTCTGCCATCCCTGCCCCAGGAGGGATCGATGCAGCCCCAGCTCTCACTGCCCCACCAGACACTTCACCTCCACCACCTTTTGGGAGACTCAATCACCCCTCCTCACCTGCCCCACGCCAGCTCTGCAGGGCAGAAAAGGCTGGAAAAACTGGCTCAGGGCCTCACACCAAGTGTCAGCCTCAGCTCAACCCCTCAGCCACTCTCGTAAACACAAATAATTAATTTTGCTTTGTCGTTTTTAAGAGCAGGAAAGAGGGAGTTTGAAGGAAGTGATTTGATTTAATTTTCTCCTCTGCTTCTGAGCAGAATTGAAGGCTACAATTAGGGAGATGAACTGAGAGGGAAGAGACAAGAAGGGCTCTGTAAGATCTCTGGGGTTTGTAGCGCATTTATTATAAGTAACACCAGCACGTGAATCTAAAAATAGTGTCTCTGATGCTGTGTGTATATGACTGATATTAAAAATGACTGATTTAAAAGAAAGTGCTTCACCTCTGTTGCCAACCAGAAAGGTAGCTCTCTAGTATTCTCAGCCTTAAATGCTGCCAGTATTTCACGTTAGGATAGTCATAAAGTTAAAGGTTAATAGGCTGTACAAATGACAGAGTTTAAAGGGAAAAATGAAGATGGGAAGATTTCTAGCACTTAGGGAACATTTTAAAAATGAAACTCCTCTGCCTAATGTAATTTTTCCTATATTCTTTCTCATGCTGTTGATCATTACTGAAAATATTTCTATTTGCATAAGTGATTTCTCCTTCAGTGCCCACCTCCGTTTGCTTTCTGGATCATCATTACTCCCCACAGCACGTGAGCCATGACCCTGCTGCCTGCCCTGGGAGCCTGCTGCTGTGAGAAGGGTGAAATTAAAGCCCCAGCCTCGCAGGGAGGATGGGCAGGGAGCCCCAGAGCGTCAGGAAGGCTTTGATTTGATTGTATGTCATTGGAGTTGGCAGGTTGAGGAGCAAGGCTGGACATGGGATTTGGCTGTGGTGTCTCAGATGTGGGGGGTGGCAGAAGGGTGGTGCTGGGCCAGCCTCGGTGCCATGGGTGGGCTGCACTGTGTTCTCTAAGCCTGGGGCTGGAGAGTGGAGTTTACAGTGAGATTAACAGGATTTAGGTGAAGACTTTACAAGAGTCCACCAGCTGTCACATCTGCTTTTGCACTGAGAGGGGAAATTCTCCCTTCCTGTCTCTGTTGGCCTTCCAGAGCAACTGGAAACAGTTGTGCTGGAAAAGGGGTGAAATGTGGCTCTTTAAAATGTACTTTTCATCACCCTGATCTCTTCCCTCTGACCAGATCACAGGAGGGTTCAAGGTGGAGACCTCTGCTCCACGTGGTTCTTTCTCTTCTTGTCCCAGCACAGCATTACACACACCACGGGGCTAAGCTACAATCAGCTGTGGGCAACACATGGGAGCACCTCCCAGACAGAATTTATTCCTCCTGCTTTCTTTATTCTTACTGCTTTCCTTACCTCTGTAGGTATCTGACAGTCCTCTCCAGGTACTGCAGGAGTCTGGGTGTGCAGAGGCTGGGAGGCGAATGAAAAATCTGATCTCTGCCTGGCTTTGACACCCTGTGCCTCCACAGGTACCTCTGACTTTTCTTCCTCTGTTTTTCAGCAAGTTTCCACTTTTCTGGAGCATGTTCCTAAAAACCTTCTGGGTTCTGGGTCTGAGAGATGCTGAAGAAGACAGATACTCCTGATTTATTGTAGCCTGAGCAACAAATAGGTCTGGAATAAAAGTGATTGCTGGGCAAAGCCTCCTCACCTCTGCTGCTGAAATGGAGAAAGGACCATGCCTTGGTGTTCCCTCTGGTAAGGAACTTTATGGAATTGCCACAGATTCTACACAGAAAGTTCCTGAAGTTGTAGGAGATGATCCATGCAGAGCTGCTCTGAAAGCCAGGACATCAACCCTCACATTCCTTGTGCACAGACCAAGGGAAAACCCAGGGAGTGCCTGTCCCAAGGATAATGATGCTCTGGGCATCCTGCAGAAGGGACTCAAGGCTGCAGTGGGGCCATTTCGTGCTATGAAAAAAAACCCCATGCACAGAACATTTTCATGAATTTCTATGGAATTTCCAGCAATACTGAATGACATTTCCTTCTTTGTTCTCTTGGTTTCCAATGTTCCAGCCCTCAGTTAGCTGCTGCTATGCTACATATCTTCCAAAACTGTAATATTAATACAGCAGAACACGACAGCACTGAAACTCTTGTTTAAAGATGTGCAAGGGTTGTATTTCTTTTGCATGTGACACTGCATAGAACATGATTAAAACATTTTGAACACTTTAAACATTTCAAAATGTTCAGCAGACCAAACCCACCACACCCTACCAGGTAAACCCACAAAAACCTGCCTCCTTGTCCCTTCCTGCCAGGACTAAAATGCTGAACAAAGGAAATAAAAGGAAAGTGCAAAGGGTTTTTTCAGGAGTCTCTTTTACCATTGTTTGGATTAAAAACTTTTGCAAAACCTCCAGTAATTAGTTTGCATGGTGTTTTCCTTTTCTGAAACTTTCAGTCATGTTCTTGCCTTTGGGATTTTTTGCAGTTCCTCTTTCCATCCTCAGGACTTCTTCTGTGATAAACTTCTTGGATCCAAATAAGAACACTGAAAAAAAAAGTGGTTTTTTTTCCATGCTGAAAGCCTTTTTCTCTGAGGCAGCTTTGTCCCAGAGACCCCCACAGTGCTGGGCTGGCTGGTGGAGCCCTTCCTCCCTCTGCCTCAGCAGGTACTTGTGGAGGCATGGAATTGCTCCTGGTGGAGCCTGTGGAATTGCTTGTGTGAAGAAGTGCTCACCTAAAAGCAAAGGGTCCTTTCTATTTGCTCCTTTGTAATTTCTGGTTCTTCATTCATTTTTACAGACAGGTGGAATGGTTATAATGTTCCAAAATAAAAGACAGTTTTCTTTTGAAAAAGGGGCCATGCCTAAAAGTTGAGAGTGGAAAAGGCTGCCTGTAACCTTTTATTGGCTTCATTCTCTCTAATATATCTGCCTTGTACGCCAAGAAAAGTATAAACAAATGGCAGGGTATTGGTTTTTCACTAACAGGGTTTAAACCAAGGTTATAAAAAGCATATCCTCTCTGACGCTATTTATGAAACAATTAATATTGTCAATGCCTTTTCCATCTCCTCCGAGTTACACGTACTGCATAAACTTTGATATATCCCTGAGAAGTACAAAAAATACCAGCTGGGGGATAAACAGGGCAATGCATCAACACTGTTGGAAAGGAAAACAATTCTCATGTCCCGTAATGAAATTCTTTGATATTATTTTAATATAAAGATGTAATCCTCTTTAATTTGTCTGAGAAAGTTTGGAGAACCCAGACAAAGGATCCTGGATTTAGCTTGTAATCTCAGGGCAGAGATGACAAGCTAATTCAATAATATATATTAATTATATACAGTTAATTATTTGGTTGTTTGAAGCTTTTACAATAGCAGCAAACCTCTAATTGTTTTTAATTTTTTTTTTCCTTTAACATACAGCTATTAAATCCTCTCCTTCTCTGTCCCACAACCCCGGGAGCAGACAGGACTGTGGCCCTTCATCCCGCCCGGGCAGCGCTATCCCGGGATGTCCCGGGATGGGATCGGCGCTCCCGGCGCTGCCCGTGGTGCTGAAGGGCGAGCGGGGAGCATCCGCCGCTCCCTCCATCCGCCCACCGCTGGATTGGTGTTTATTGGCGTTAGCACCACCATTCCAGAAATTAATCTCCGCGGCTTCAGATGGAAATCTGTCCCCAGACAAAAAGCAGAGACCTTTTGGTGGCCAATATCGCACAAGTTTCCCAGCTGGAGATATTTAAACAAATCGCCTCCCCCACCCGTGTTTGCCACCTGAAATATCAGCGCTGCTTATCAATACCTCACGCTGCTGCCAGGCCTTCCGATCAATATATCATCATTTCAGAGCCTGATCGTGAAGGTGAAGGGCATTCCCAAGGACATCTGGAGATCCTGATCGGGGCTCTGCACTCTCTGATCGCGTTCAGTGCTTTACAAGTGGCCAGAGCAGAATCAAATCAGGATCTCTCACTGGGGAGACAGCGCCTCATCCTCTCCCTCGGAGCAGCCCTGGCTGCCAAAAACAAACAAACAAACAAACAAACAAACAAACAAACAAACAGCAGAGGTGTCATTCACACGCTGGCCCCCGAGTCTTTCTGCATTTCCTCTGTCCTTCACCCCACTGCAGCTCTCCAGCACAGCAGTCCATAACAAACCTCTCGTGGCAGTGGGATGTGCACTGTACAGGATTTTCCCGACTGGA